AAAGGATAAAAAAAGACTAAAATGAAGAAATAAATAAGTTTAAGGGCAAAAGGAACCAAAACGAAAAAAATAAAGTCTCAGTGGAAAAATAAAAAAAGGTCAAAAAGGACCAAAATGAAGAAATAAATAAGTTTTAGGGTAAAAGGAACTAAAACAAAAGCAAAATAAAATTTCAAGACAAAAATTAAAAAAGCGTCGAAGGGACTAAAATGGAGAAATAAATAAATTTTAGGATACCATTATAAAGAAATATCTAAGTAGGATAATATTTATAAAAATATTAATCTAGGTAAATGATAAAAAAAAAAAGTTAAGAAAAGACAAGAACGTAAAAGATAAAAGTCTAGGAAAAAAATAAAAGGAAATAAGAAAGGTGGGAAGGAAGAAAAAAGAAAAAGTAATAAAAAAGGGTTAATTTCAATAATAGCATTCTTGAATAAATGATTATTAATTTTAGCACCATTTTTGTATATTTTCACAATTAGCATTGCCATGTTAGCAAAAGTGGGACCAGACCGCTTTTACTTAAGTTAAAATGACAATTGTGTCTCATTTCACTTTTAAAGCCTTGAATATATATTATGAAGCCTTTTATAATTCAAATATTCAAAGTGGAGAGAGGAGGAGGAGAACGAACACGGGTGTGCACAGAGACCAAGAAACCCAACGACCACCACTGTCTACCACCTTGACCACCGACGAACCCACGACAGTGAAAACCCACGACAACGAGAACCCACGCAATCACGCGACAAGAACCGATGAACCTTCGCCGGAGAAATCAACGCATAAACCTCTTCATCGAAGAAGAATGAACCGAGGAAACCTCTCCCTCTTCGCCAGAGAAATCAGCCACGAAACAGACGAGGTCAATGGCAGATTCCGAGACAAAGGTGAAAGAGAAGAATGAACCGAGGAAACCTCTCCCTCTTCGCCAGAGAAAGCAGCCACGAAACAGACGAGGTCAATGGCAGATTCCGAGACAAAGGTGAAAACTTTGTTGGCTTTTCTTGTTTATTTGTTTTTTCTTTCTTAGGTATTTATTATATTTTTTCTTTTACCATTTTCTGTCATCTTAGAAGAAAAGAAAGGCTTTGGAAGAGGAGATAAAAGCAGATAAGGTCAGTATTTAAAATTCTTGGGGGTCATTGGATTGTCATTGTGCTCCTTGGCCGGTCATATCATTATGACCACTTGGTAATTTTATTATGACCGGGCATAAGACAGGCACATCGTGCGGTCATAGTAATCGGTCATAATTACTATGACCGCCCATTAGGCAGGCAGACGCATAGTGTGATTGACTGACTTATGAGAATGCGGTCATAGCATTATGACCATCAATCATAGTAATGTGACCGCACAATTGTCAGGCTCATAGTGCGACTGCCTTGCGGTCATAGCATTATGACCCTAGGTCATAGTCATGTGACCGCACAATTGTCAGACTCTTAGTGTGCCAGTCATAGTACTTTTTTTGGGTGGTCATTAGTCATAACACTTATGACCGTCGATTATATTACTATGACCGAACAATTGTCGGACTCTTAGTGTGCCAGTCATAGTACATTGGTTAACAACTTTGTTTGCTTTCTTATTTTTTTTTTGTATTTATTGTTTTTTTTTTTACCAATTTTTCTCCTCTTAGAAGGAAAAAAAAGACTTTGGAGGAAGAGATGCCTTTGGAGGAAGGTAAAGCAGATACTAAGAAGGTCAGTTATTTGAAATTTGTGAGCTTCATTGGATTGTCATTGTGGTCATTTTTGTTCTCTGACTCAGCCTTATGGTGGTCATATTGTTATGACTGCACTATGACCGAACAATATAATTAGCGATCATAGTATTATGTCTGTCATTCCATAAGGCAGTCATAGTGGTGGAACTCGTAACATTGTATGGTTGAACCAGTAATATTATACAATTACTGACATTGTAGTCGGTCGTAATATTATGACCGTCTGGTCATTTAAGTATGACTGGCCCATAAGGTGTGATCTGTTTTTTTGTCTGTGTTTTTTGTTTGCCTTGCCTTTATATTAGTATGACCAGTCATATTAGTATTATTACAGTTCATGAGAATGATTCCAGACGAGGACATCAAGAACAGTAAAATAAACCGTACTGTTAACTATGAGGAAACTATGGGAATACTACGATAATGTATAGCCTCACATGATTCTTTGAAATGTTTATAACTATGTATAGCACTAGATGATGTATATATAACCGCACATGATTCTTTGTATAGCCTCATATTATTCTTTGTATAGCCTCACATGATTATTTACAATGTAGGAATAATTAAATTAATGTCTTATTATGAGATACAACATGCAAGTTTAATGAAACGAAACATACATCAAAGAGTCACTAGAAACTTTTTGAGCTCACTGATGACCCTGGGTGGAGTGGCACTGGATTCGTACAGGTTTTATGGCTGTGTCCATAAGAATGACATCTACCACACTTGATTGTATCAGGTTCTTCACCTTGGGATAAAATCCTGTTAACAGGAGGTCTTCCGGGCCGACGCTTTATTTTGGGAGGGTTCACAACCCGGTTCCTCATTTTTTCATCAACATCCCTTCCTTCTGAGCTTCCAATTGGATTAACAACTCCTTTATAGGTTGCAAAAAGTTCCTCTTTCGTGTAGTACTTGGAGCAATAATTTTCCGGACTCATTTGTCGTCAGTTACACACAACCATAACATGGGGACAGGGCAGTTGGTCCACCTGAAATTACATGCAGATACATGTCCTCTCTCTCATGGACACAATCCAGGTCTTAACAGATGAGTTGGTGACAGAGTACTTAAATTGATCCGCTGCTCTTACCTGGGACGAAAATCCGGGTATATGTTTACTTGACAAGTCAATACATAACTAACTATAAATAGTCAGTATTATCGTTACTAGCTCACCGTTAGTGGTAGAGCCATAGAAAATGCTTCCCAAACATGTTTATTTGCTACCCGAGATAAGGTGGAATCAAATTTAAAGGCGACTTCACGTCTCTCAACGAACCATCTCTCTAAGAGCTCCCTTAACCATTCAACCAAGTAACTGTTGGTTTCCGAATCGAATTCGGATGTGAAAGCGTGGGGATAGCGGATCAAGTATAACAAACTTTTTTATAAAACCTTTAAGATACTCTATAGATTATATTAATTTATGCACGAATAAATTAATCACATTAATTCATTTATTGAGAACTCAATTACGAATAATACCTGGCGGCATATTAGGATGATAACTTGAGTTCTTTGACCTCGAACAATCCTTGCTTCAAAGCTTTGTGTTTAGAAAATCAATGTCTTCCATGTTAATTCCTAGAATCTACGAAGATGTGTGTATAGGCACACTTGAGACAAAACGGGTTAGAGTAAACACTTGAATTTTCACAAACACCAATGCATGCACGATGTGGAATTTTTAGAGAAAAAATTTTCCTTCTCACTCTATAGAGAAATTCGGCCACCCTTTTAAAAAAATAGGTCAAAAATTACATCTCACAATTTTCTATCATTCTCTTATTTATAGAGTAGAAGTCAAACGTCTAGAAGGAATCCAATCTCTATCTCCAAGATAAAGCTTGTTAATTATCTCCTATTTGAATTTGAAACAAAAGTCTCATACTCTTTATCCTGAAGATGGCCGGCCAACCTAAGTGATCCTATCCTTGTGGTAGGCACCAAATACAGATAAGGAGGGAAGAGAAAATCATCCTTTATCCTGCAGTCCAATTTTGATTCAAATTCAAATTCGAATTTAAGTCAAACTTAAATTAATTTGAATTCTAAAGTGAACAACTTATCAAATAAGTTTAAATGTATAAATTTAAATTATGTTCACAATTTAAATTCAAATTTAAATAATCACATTATTTAAATAATAATTAATTCTCAATTAATTATTTTTGAGTATTTAATTTTAGAATTTCGTAATTCTAAAATTCCCATTTTGCCCTTTGTGTCCGATAGAATTACAAAGACGATGCGGGGACTAATGGACCTATAATCCCAAGCTCCAATAAAATTAATAATTAATTAAACACTTCAATTAATTAATTAATTCTATTAATTCCAATAGTTACTCCACTATAAACTTGGAACTGCACTCTCAAAATTCTAGACATGAATTACTTCTAAACTGTGAAGTGTTCATTTGATATAGTCACTGTATATAGATCAATCCTCCATAAATAATTCATAATTAGAGCAAGGTAGAATCCGTTAACCTCTCTAATTATATCTTCATCCTTGAGTACCATTGATTCTCTAATGGATAGTGATTCATAAAACACATTCATGAAGCCGAGCGCTCTTACTAATCTAAGTACCGAATCAACACTCAAGAGAATTATTTATCTGCTTCTTTCTCAAAAAGGAATGGATTCCATCTCGTATAATAACATTCTCGGCTACCTATTTCATCATGTCTCCAAAATACAATGAAATATGATTCAGGGTCTCAGAATCCGTACTAAGTAAATCAAAAGACACAAATCCATAAATAGGAGTTTGTTAAGAATCAGGATTAGGATCATTCTATATATGACCATTGGTAGACTCAATTAGAATTTCTATACTTAAACGAAAATTATTAGAAATTCATATTGTATATGTGTCCCTGTTCCACATAATCTTATTATGCGAAATACACTCATTCAATATCTCACCATATTAACAGTGTGGATAACACCGTTCCATTCGAAATGGGAATGACATGTATTAATAATGTTTTAATTAAAGATTCTGAACTTTAATTAAATTCATTATGAACATCGTCTTTTGATTGTTATCCTTAAACATTATCCTCTCGCATATAACACTTATATACAATGTTTAAGGTCACATAAATAATCATGAAATTTTCATTGATATTCATAAAATATTCACAAATATATATACACATAAAATGATGAATAAACTCTTTTATTAAATAAATAATAAATGTCCTATTACATCTCATGCTTCTAGGACACCATTCCCAACAGTAACCTACAGGCATTAACCTCGCTTTCCGATCCACATTATTCAATGACTCAGTAATGTTTGTTGTCATTATTGTGTACTGTCGTCCATTGAAGAATGTGCGAGACCATTTTACAGGATATGCATCCATAAGGTAACGGTGTATGGTAGGGTTACCCTTTTCGATGAATCCCATCTGACAGAAAAACTCGCTTCTAAGATATGTCCTCAAAGCACCATTGAAATACGTCTTCATAGTGCTGTTAAAACTTTTAAACTTCGCTTTCAAGTTTCCAGCCAAGTGTTGAACGCATATCCCAAAATCAGCTTCTGGGTAAACCTTCATGACTACATATTTAATACTCTTATGCCTATCAGCCACAATAGCAAGCTCATCTCGCATGTCTATTGATTCTCGTAACTTGGTGAAGAACCATTCCCATAAATCATTGTTCTCTGTGTTGGGAATGGTGTCCTAGAAGCATAAGATGTAATAGGATATTTATTATTTATTTAATAAAATAGTTTATTCATCATTTTATGTGTATATATTTGTGAATATTTTATGAATATCAATGAAAATTCCGTGATTATTTATGTAACCTTAAACATTGTATATAAGTGTTATATACGAGAGGATAATGTTTAAGGATAATAATTAAAAAGCAATGTTCATAATGAATTTAATTAAAGTTCAGAATCTTTAATTAAAACATTACTAATACATGTCATTACCATTTAGAAGGGAACAGTGGTATCCGCACTGTTAATATGGTGAGATATTTAATAAGTGTATTTCACATAATGAGATTATGTGGGACAAGAACACAGACACAATATGAATTTTTAATAATTTTCGTTAAGTATAGAAATTCTAATTGAGTCTACCGATGGTCATATATAGAATGATCCTAATCCTGAGTTCTTAACAGACTCCTATTTATGGATTTGTGTCTTTTGATTTACTCGGTACGGATTCTGAAATCTTGAATCCTATTCCTTGTATTTTAGAGACATGATAAAGTAGGTAGCTGGGAATGTTATTACACGAGACGGAATCCATTTCTTCTTAAGAAAGAAGTAGATAAATAATTCTCTTGAGGGTTGATTCGGTACTTGGACCAGTAGGAGCTCCGACTCATGAATGTGTTTTATGAATCACTGTCCATTAGAGAATCAATGGTACTCAAGGATAAAGATATAATTAGAGAGGTTAACGGATTTTACCTAGCTCTAATTATG